GGAATGGGAAAGGGGATGGACAGGAATGGGAATGAGGATGGGAACGGGACAGGGAATAGGACAGGGAACGCGGATGGACAGGGAATGGGGATGGGAGTGGGACAGGGAATAGGACAGGGACACAGGAACAGGACAGGGAATGGGACAGGGAAACAGACAGGGATGTGGACATGGACACGAGTCTATCCCTGCTCAGTGGGACCCAAGTGTGTCCCGTGCTGTGAACCCAAGTTTGTGTCTATTGTTCGTCCACTGAGCTGCATTTGAATATTAATGACATGTGAACAGCGTGATTAATATGCAGATTCTGGTGTTCTATGTAATCAGTGCACATATTGGCCCTTACTGACCTTGCTCTTACAAACACCCGTTTGCAGCTGCATAAACACGGCAGAACTTGCCCCCTTTTTTTTTCCTTTGGTGGAGGTTGTGTCTGTGGGGGATTTGGGCTGAGGCCGCAGGGGAGGGTGTGTGAGGCCCCTGATGTATTTGTTTATATATGTTTATATCGCAGCCCCTCCCCTTCCATCAGCCCCCCCGCCCCCCAGACAAACGCTGCCGACGGCTTGGGCGCTTTGTCACGAACAGCCTTTACTCGCCCGCCGCTCGCGTCCCGCCTTCCTCGGTACAAAAGAACATCTTAACAAAAGCGCCGCGGGGCAAGGGCGGGGGGCTCGGCCCCGCGGGGAGGGTGGGCTATGGCACTGTCGGCGTGGGCCCCCCCCGGGCGGGGGCTCAGGCAGGGAAGCCCTGCTCCGGAGGCTCGTCCCGGGTGCCCTCGGCCACGCTGCCGGGGCCGCTCATCCTCCCCAGCGCGTCCTCGCCGGGCCCCGGCAGCGAGCAGGGGTGCACGAGGTGGTCCCAGTAGAGGCTGAGCGTGGAGTGCTCCTGCTGCTCCAGCTCCTTCAGCTCGTGCAGCTCCTTGGCGCTGGCCACCGGCGTCTGCACCTCGAAGGTCATCTCGAAGCGGCTGTAGTCCACGTGGAAGGCGCCTTTCTCCAGGGACATGCAGGGCTCGAAGCGGTATCCCCAGAGGATCTCATCCTCCGTGTAGGAGGTGCGGGCTTGGCACGTCATTCCTGTGGGGAGACAGCGGCTGAGCTGGGCCAGGGCACTGCCACGAGGCCCCTGCTGCCCCACGAGAGGCTTCCAGCCCTGTATCACCCACTGCCCGGCAGAGCCAGCTTCGGCCCCGGGCATCTCTTGGGCGGGATGCCAGTCCTGAGCCCAGTTTTGCCTGGCATCTCCAGGACTCCAGGAGAGCCGCCTGTCCCCACCCTGATCCCCGCCCCGGAACACTTGCCTGTGGCTTCCACGATGCCCTCGAGGATGATGATGATTTCGAACTGCTCCCGGCGCAGCGACTCAGCCGACATGTCCCAGAAGGGGCTGTGGCGGTTGATGACATGGCAGATGATCTGGGGCTCCACCAGGAACAGACGGTCCTCCCCCGTGTCGTAGCCCAGGTTCAGCTCTGACTGCTCCAGGGGAATAAACTCCCCCTCGGCCGTCTGCCGGGACTTGATCAACTTTGCCCGGATCTTGGCATCCACCATGTGGCTTTCCCGCAAGTCCCCCACGCGGAACATCAGGCAGAGCTTCTCGTCACGGCGGGAGATGACACAGTTCTTGCTGAAGATGAGGGTCTGGGCGCGCTTCTTGGGCCGGGAGATCTTGACAAACATGCAGCCCACCATCATGGCATCGATCATGGAGCCCACGATGGACTGAGCCATCAGCAGGATGACACCCTCGGTGCAGTTGGCCGTCACCATCCGGGTGCCGTAGCCGATGGTCCGCTGGCTTTCCACTGAGAGGAGCAAGGCAGAGATGAAGCTGTCCACGTTCTCGATGCACGCCTGCCACTCGGGATCGCCCTGGTGCCCAACGTCGCCCCGCACCCAGGCGTCGAAGAAGTAGATGAAGCCAAAGACCAGCCAGGTGACAATGTAGCACATCATGAAGACAAACAGGAACCAGCGGTACTTGAGGTCCACGATGGTGGTGAAGATGTCCGAGAGGAACCTCTTCTTGTCCTGGATGTTGCCCAGGTTCACCTGGCACTTGCCCACCTTTGTCACGTAGCGCTGCCGCTGCCGCTTGCTGCTCTGGACCATGGGGTTGTCCTCCTCCAGCAGCTTGCAGCGCCGGTTCTGCAGCCCCTCCGGGGTGGGGATGGTGGAGCTGCGGGCGGAGGTCTTGCCACGTGAAGAGTTGGGGATGTTGGCCATGCTCAGGGCATGCAGTGGATAAAAGCGGGCACCTGGGTCCTGCGGGGCGGGCGGTGGGCACCAGGACGGGCGGCCACGGAGGTGCTGGGTGGCCAGGCTCCCGCGGCTCAGCGGCAGGGACGGCTCACTGGGGGCGAAGCCGCTGCGGCGGGGTGTGGACGGGTAGTTTGGCATCGGGGTGCTTCTCTTGGCAGTGGCAGTGGCAACGGTGGTGGCAGCTTGCTGCCGGCCGTCCTCCACTGGCACCCCGGGGGCAGCTGGGACGTCGTGCTGTGGAGGGGGAAGGAGCCCATCGGTGAGAAATTGCCTCTGACAACAACCGCAAGCACCCGGCGGCACCCTGAGCCGAGGATGCCCCAGAGCCCCAGCGCGAGCCATACCTTCTGGGGGAAGGTGCCGTACCGGCTGGTGTCGGTGGGCGGCCGGGGCAGGTAAGCCAGCATGTGCTTGGCAGTGGGGGTCTGCGCTGCGGGGATGGAGTTGCTGCGGCCGCGGGGCTCCTCCGGGGCCCCCCAGCCGCCGGCGCCGCCGCTGTTGCGGGCGTAGGGGAGCACCATGGCGGCGCCGGGGCTGGGGCTCAGCCCTGGGCTGGGCGTGGGGTCCTGCCGTGGGGGACACAAAGTGGGGGGTTATTTTGGACACAGAGGGCAGTGCAGAGCTCCAAGCCCTCTCCGCATCCCCAGGGTCTGGGGGGAAAGCCCTTGCCCAGAAGTGCATGTGCCAGCCCCGGAGCTGTGCCAGGGCGGCTGTGGGCTGGCTCCAGATGGCTAAGCCCATTAGGGGCCATGATTGCATTGCAAGGCCGGAGAAGGAGCCATCCTCCTCCGGTGGGAAGCTGCCCTAGCAGCCGACAAGCTCCGTGTGAGCGCCGTGGCTCTGCTCCACACTTGTTCTGGGCCATGGCTGTGGCTCCCGGTTCTCTAAGGAGCTCTGAGCAGAAATGGATGGCCTCAGGACAGCCTGTGATAGAGATACAGATCCCATAGCTGGGCTCCTTGGGACAGGCTGAGTCCAGCTGGTCCCTGTGGGGAGATGTGATGAGAGGTCACATTCCTGGAAAATCAACCTGGAGTGCAGTGACCCACGGGGACAGGGGTGGGGATGGGGTGGGAGTGTGGGTGCTCTACCCCCTCCAAGCATTCCCTGCTTCTGCAGAGCGGCAGGACCAGCAGTGCAGTGATGGGGGACGTCAGCCTCCAGACCAACCTCCCAGCTCCCCAGACCCCTGGGCGCAGGGGGCACCCACCTCATGTCCAGGCAGAGTGGCTGCCAGCCCCAGAGACGTCGTTCTCGGCTTGTGGCTCCTGCTGCGTCCTGGCCACTGCCGGGCATCTTCCCACCGGTCATGGACAGGAATCCTCTGCCAGGCTGTGCCACTGTGGCCGGTGGGAGGGAAGAACGGAAGGACAGGGAGCTCGGCGGCGGCCACCAATCCTGCTCTAGCGGCAGAAGGTCACCCGTTAATCTGTCTCAATGACAGGCACAATTACCTTGAGACGATTTAATTGGAAGGAGCAGGCGCCCCAGTGCCTGAGGGAAGGAGCAGGAGGGGTTTCCCAGCCGATTTCCCTGTTCTTGCCCTTAGGATGATGCTCGCTGTCTGTTCTTTAGGGATGGGATGGTCAGCAAGTGCTGGAAAACATCCTCCCTCTCCTGCCTGCTCTGTGCCTCCACACTAAACGTGGTCTGTGCTCCCTCACCCTCTCCTTTTGGGAGCCCTCTGTTAAGGTCCCCCCTGACACTCACTGGGGTGGACCCCCAGAGCCAGCAGGACTCAGTAATTTCCAGTCTGGCTCCCAATACCAGATAAGAAAGACGCGGATGAAGGAGAGATTAGTCGCTAATCTCCCAGGGAAGATGAATCTGCAAGCTGGACCCTGCGGAGGGGACGCACGTGGGGGTGGATGGGAGCTGAGCGCCAGCACAAAGTTGGGATTTTCCTGATGCTGTGGCCCATCCTTTTCATAGAACCCCAGAATGGTAAGGATTGAAAGGGCCTTAAAGATCATCCAGCTCCAACCCCGCCACGGGCAAGGACACCTTCCACTGGACCAGGCTCCTGTAGGTGGGTTTTCCCCATCCTGTTTGCAGCAGGGAATCCCCTCCCAGACAACAGTTTCCTCACACACAACAAGCACCACAAGCCGTGTCCTGGGTGAGGTGCTGGGCACGGAGCAGGGTGATCAGTGCCCATCTGCAACCCGCTTCCCTCCCTCGGACATACTCATCTTCGACGCAGCTCTTAAAGGCTCCTTTGCATGTTTATTTGGTGACCGAATGAGAGTCGGGGCCTCCAACCGAGGCACCGACTCCAGAGAAGAGCCCGATGCCTCCTGTCCGCTGCCTGCATCCTGCCCCGGGTCCCCTCCCTGTCCCACCGCGGCCGGAGCTGCTGGTGCTGCTGAGAGGCGCCTTCCCTGGCAAGGCTCTCGCTTCGGGGTGGCCGAGGCTCGGGGGATTTGCATGCCTTGGCTTAACCCTGCCGGGCACGGCGAGGCAGCGGCGGGACCCTGCCCAGAGTCACGGCGGGGATGCACCCGGCTTTTCCTGCTGAGCCGGGCGTGCTTTTCTTTTAGCGTGGAAAAACCAACAACGGCTGAAAAACGACCGTGGCCACACCCCGGCGTTGGAGGAACAGGCTTGAATTCGCCCCCCCGGGCGGCAGACGCGGCCGGCGGCCGGGCGGACGCTGCTCCACAAACGTTAATGCCCGCGGCCGCCGCTCAGGGCGGCTAATCTGGGCCCAGAGGTTAGCTGGGCGGCAATATCATGGCCGGGGGCTGGTGGGCGAAGGCGCAGGCGGGGGGGATGCTGCTGGCTCTCCTCGGGTGGGTCAGCTCTTGCGTCACCACCTTTGTGCCGCTCTGGAAGAACCTCAACCTGGACCTGAACGAGCTGGAGGTCTGGAACATGGGGCTCTGGCAGGTCTGCATCACCCAGGAGGAGGGGGTGGTCGAGTGCCAAGCCCACGGCTCCTTCCTGGCGCTGCCCCCTGAGCTGCGCATCTCTCGCCTCCTGATGTGCGTCTCCAACGGGCTGGGGCTGCTGGGTTGCCTCCTCGCCACCCTGGGGCTGGACAGCTGGAGAGCCTGCGAGGACAAACCCGGGCAAAAGCAGCGTCTCCTGCTCGCCGGGGGAGCGGTGCTTGGCACCGCGGGGATTACCACCCTGGTGCCGGTCTCCTGGGTCGCCTACAACACCGTCCTCGACTTCTGGGATGAGACCGTCCCCGACATCGTGCCCCGGTGGGAGTTTGGGGAGGCCACCTTCCTGGGGTGGTTTGCCGGAGCCTTCCTCGCAGCTAGTGGGCTGCTCCTCGCCTGCAGCGCCCGCTCCACGAGCACCGCGACACCACCGGCCCCTGCCTGCCGCCAGCTCTCCAGCCCCGCGGGGTCCGGGCGGGGGCCACCACCCACACCCCAAAATCGCAGACCTGGTCATCTAGGGCCTCGCAGTGCCCTGCGTGCCTCATGGCTCTTCCCCCGGCAGGGAGGGGTCCTGCAGGGAGGGCTCCTGCACGTTCCACAGGATGATTTGCTAATTGCTACGGCAGCCCTGCCAGTTTCTCTCCTTTCTCTGTGTGCCTGCTTCACTTTTTCTCTGTTAAGGAGCAGCAGGTTTCCCCACAGCACTCGCTAAGCGAGTGTGGGAAGGCAACAAGCAACTTCGTACTGCTGGTGACACCGATGGGTGACATCGTGGTGGCAGCTCAGCACAGCAGCTCCTTCCCTGTGTGTCTGTGTCGCTCCGATGTATTTGCAATAAATTATCGCGGCCGTCAGCAGCGTGTGTCTGTGCTCTGAACGTGCAGCTGCATCTTGCACGAGGGGGATGCAAGGGTTGTGAGGGGCAGCGCTGTCGCTGCAGCAGTGCTTTCAGTCCAGGAAAGACTGGGGAAAAAGAGAGACAAAAGTGGAAAACAAGGGGGAGAGGGAAAATTAGAGACAAGGCAGCACCAAGTTTTACTCCTGCTGCAAAGGCAGGATGGCAGCGGCCGCGTGCCCTGCAGTAGCCTCATCTTCTCATGGCTAAGATGATAAAGCCGATAATTGACACAGACCTTTGTGTCAAAAGTTCCTCGACTGCATCATTTACCTGCACAGAGAAGGTAAGACTGGGGTTCTGTGGGTCTCCTTAACTGTTCCTTCCACATTTTCCTGATCCAGCTGTAAAAATAAAGGCTGCTTGCACACCTCTGCGACCAAGAGCACGGACCATCAGGCTGGATTAGTACCCAGTGTCCTGACAGGGGCCAGCATGCTGCTACAGCACTGGTTGAAAACCGAGTTCACCGCTGGTTTAATCCCTGCAGGCTCAAAGCCGCGGGCGCGTGACCCATCTCAAGGAAGGCCCAGCCGACAGTGGCATTCCTGGGGGAAGCAAAGTCCGCTCGCCTCTAAGTCCGTTTTGAAACCTGCACTTTGCTCTGCTGAAGAGGAGAGGAAGGAACAGGTGGGCAGGGATTGGGAACAGGAACGATTCCTGGCAGTTCTGATGCTTCAGCATTCAGGGCTGGGGGTAGAGCTGGTGGTGCCAACAGCGAAGGGGGAGAGATGAGTGCTCTGTCTTTCCGAACAAGAATCAAAGGGAGGTAGAACTGAGGGGTTGGCATTCCTGGCCATCGCCTTCCAAGGAGCTGCAACCCCTGCCAGTTGCCCTGAGAGGGCTGACCAGTTCAGGGAGCAGAGATGCTGTTTTGGCTGTAACTCCCTTGGGAAAGGGGAGGACAAGACAGAGAGCAAAGGATTCCAGCCTGGAAACACTCCTGTCCAGCCCAACCCAAATATCAGGAATGGACCTGGCACCACTCTGTACTCCTGACACTCTTTGTTGTTTTTTTCAAGCAGGCTTTGGGGCATTTCAGCTCCTGGCAGCAACACAAAGAATGGGGCAAAGACACTGTGTCATGACAATCAGAACAAAAGGACTCTCCTACTTCAGGAGTCTCTCCCCAAACCACATCCTTTACTGCCTGCAAGTGCACAAAAGCTGCCTGGCAATGCCAAGCGCTGTCTGGAAGAGAGAGTGCAGCTCTCAATAGGTCACAGCCTGGGGTCTGTGCTCAAGAGCTCCATGTTTTCATCCATCACAGGCTGAGCACCCTGAGCAGTGAGTTGGGGGCCTCATCCCACTGCTCGGTCATGACAACAGGGGAAAAGCTGAAAAAGCAGCACCCTGGTGCTACAGCACCCCAGTCCCTGAGGAGATACAGGTCACTGCTAGGACACCATCACCACCATTACTGTGGACAACAACAGTTCTACTTCATCATAAAGTCACTGGGAGAGTGCAAGATTCTCCCACAGGAGCGATTTATTCCTAACAGAGAAATGCACACCAACAAAATGGTGGGACCATCCCCAGGCAGCTCCGCTAATGACAACACATTCTGTACAGGAGGAACCTTAAGGCAGAACCCCAGAGTGAAATAAAGACACAGAGGGAGCTTTTTCATTCTAACATAAAACAAATGCTTTTATTGCACTGTTAGAAAACTCTGCATAGTCCCAACAAACAGGATCCCCCTCCACTGACTCAGAACTTTTGGCTTACAACAGCTGCCGCAGCTCAAACACAAGCACAGGGCACCCGCAAAAGGAAATGCCAACAGGGCACTTCGTTAACAAAGTCAACACAAAAACCCACCACCAAAACAATGGGCTGATCTGAGCCCTCACAGTTGTCATCGACACTAATCCAGCCCTGACACTCCACCCAAGGGGAGAAGAAAGTTTGCCTTCCAGTTGTGAGGGGAATATCCTTTGGGGTGGTGTGATTCCCCCGAGCCAGTCAGCTCCCACCCGGCAACAAACCCACAGCTCCGTCCTGGCTCCTCACTGCCAGGATTTGCCTGTGCCTCTCTGAGAAAGGCTCCAGCATGGTTTCTGGTGCCAGCTGGAATACAAAAGGCAAAAAGCCTGCTTGGCTTGACCACAACACGCAGCTGCGCGCACGACTGCCCACACGACAGTGTGAGCTGCCGCTCCTCGCTGCCTCCTCCTCACTCAGCACAGGCTCCTGCAAGCAGAAGCCTGGCTGGATTGGAACGTGCAACCTCTGGCAGTGACCATCCAAGGAGCTGTAAAAGCATCTGACAGCCCAGTAACAACGCGGAGCACTGCGCACAGAGGAGCCGGGCTCTCGTGCCATCACAGGCCCAGGGGCCGCCTCTAGAAAGTTGTCAGGACAGAAGAACCTCTGGAGCTGGGCTGGGCCCTGTGGTGCTGCTGGGGCCTGTGCCTCATGCTACAACAGGGGTCCAGGTCCTTCGCATTACTGCCTCACTTTCTGCCTCAGAAGTGCAATACTGCTTTTTATTCGCTTGTATTTACAAAGAACACAGCTCAGAATCCAAACTGTCCCCTCTCCCGCTCCAGCACTACCCAGTGGAGGCCCCGGGCAGGTCAGCAGTGTGACACTGTGTCACAGCAAGTGGTCTGTGGGCTATTTCACGGTCACGGTCGAGGCCCCGTGAATGGACTCCATCACGGCCGCAAAGCGGCTGCAGAGGTCGTAGGGGGAGTTGGGCCGGATCTTCGGGGGCTCTTTCAGCACAATGACCTCGGTGGAGCCGTCCAGGAGCCGGGGCAGCAGCTCGCCCAGCTTCAGCTGCAGCTTTGCTGTCAAGGGGGAGAGGAGGAAACGGTCAGTGGCAGCAGATGGCAGAGGGCTCCAGGCCATGAACTAATGGTCTGTGCCACTGTGACGCCTCTTGCAGACTCCTGTCCCCGCACCCAGAGCCGCCCAGCCCATCACCAGGGATGAGCAGCGCCTGCTGACGCAGAGGAGGCGTCACACCAGCTGCCGCTCAGCACGGCCAGTCCTCGTCCTGCCTGCCTACCCAGGGCTCTGCGAGGGAAGCTCCACTGCCACCTGGCTGCCAGGGGCCACGGCCACGTCCCACTGGGACACAGGAAAGGTGCTGTCACACCGGCTGTCAGGTCAGGAATCACTGGGCAACACTCAAATATTGACTGTGCATTTGAGGAGAACAGAACCTTCACAGCCTGTTCTCCTTCAGACAGGGCAGCTCAGCCCACACCGAGCAGGCACTGTCTGCTCCCAGGGAAGGTCCGTGCCTGGGAGCAGACACGTGGATGCCTCTGGAGTGCACAGTACAGCACAGGCACCTTGGGTGAGAAGAGCCAGCCAACAAAGCTCAGACAGCTCACGCAACCCAGGCAGGGTGAGCACTCAACTTCTGGTTCTTTAAAAACCTCTGGAGGTCACAGCCAGCCCAAGAATTGAACACTGGTATACTGGGATAAATGTATCCAATTTTAAATTTTACAACAGTATTCTGAGAATAAACCTCTATGTTTTTGCATTATTTTCCTTCAGCAAGTTTACCCTCTGCTAGTGATAAAAGCCTCAAACCTTTTTTACACACAGATCAGGGCAGGTCAGGACCAATTTAACTGAACAGAAATGACCTGAGGGGAATCACAGGAGCCTGATTCCAGAAGGAATTACAGAACAAGAACAGCTGCCCAGAACCAACGTTCAGCTCTACGACGACATACCTCTCTTCAAAACACAGAGATGCTCCGAATCTGCTCCCCCGCCACCTTCCACAACCCTAGTCTCTGATAACACCTGCTGCTCCCTCCTGAAGAGGAGCGTGCCATGCCACTGAGCATGTCCACATTCACCTGCCATCCCTGGGTACCTCCAGTCAGGGAGAAACCCTAGAGAAGACCCAAGCCCCCTGAGGGAACACTAAGACATCAGCTGTCCCATTTCATGGAAGAGAGATCCTTCTGCAGCTTGGTTTAGTGCAAAAGATTAAATTCTTCTATAACAGAATGCAATGGGTGATTCAAATTGATTTCTTCTCCCACAATGAGAAGGGCTGCTAAAGTGTGGATGGCAGGAATTCAAGGAAGTGTTTTAAATGGTCCTTTAATTCTTTCCCGGTTGAGATCCAGACACTGCCCTGCCCATGATCAGCACAACAAAGGTAAGGCCAGCAGCCATTCCCTACCGTCCATGTCTTCTCGTCCCAAATAGGAGCACCAGTGGTTCCTCATGACCTCGATGGCATCCATGTCCTCTCTGGAGATTTCAAAGTTGTTCATGAGGTGCATGCAAGGGATGATCAGCTCATTCAGGATGCTCACGCCCTCTGACACACGAGCTTCTTCAGAGCTGACAAACAGAGAGGCTGCCACCTCATTCAGCTTCTGGGGGCAAAGGGAGAATTGGAGACAGACTTGTAAAGAGCAAGCATGGACCATGGATAGCCAGGAAAGGTCCAGCTCATGCCCTGCACCAGCAGCCATGCAGAGAACAAGGACTAACAGCACCAGGTGCTGGGCTGTGGTGGAACAGCTGCCTTTAATCATGGGAACCACACCACAGAAAGCAAACTCGTAAATGTATATATTCATACACATACATGTAATTTTCTGTATCTACATACAGAATGCATATGGCTTATATACAACTCTGGTTTTAAGATGCCAAGATCTAGATCTGCCTTTTCCTGAATTTCCTGAGAGCTGTATGGCACGTTCTTTCATTGCATTATCATTATTATTTCCAAACTG